GCGAACGATTGCGGACGCTTGCGGACGCTTGCAGACGCTTGCGAACACTTGCGAACACAAACGCAACGACCTCGCGTCGCCTCCTGGACCCCTGGACCCCAACTTTAAAACGGGAACCCTTCTGCTACGCATTCGGGAATAATAAATCCAGGGCCCTAAAAATTCCTCATGAGCATTTTAAAAGGGGCTGTAGACCATGATGAATTAGGGGGTTTTGGAGGTCACTAGGGGGGCATAATATAAAATCCAAAGGAATTAAGGATCCCCTTGACAACCTAGGTTTTGGTTGATTTCATATGTTTTTAATAAAGGATTGTATATACAAGAACTGAATGCGATTTTAATTCATCTTATTCCACTTTTTGCCGTATGTAATTAGATCTCAATTGAGTTTCATTGGATTTTAATCGATTTTAAATTGATTTTAATCGATTTCATTTGAGTTTTTACTTGTAAGGAATTGTCATTAAATTTCAATTGATTTTAACGTGATTTGTGAGTTTAATTCGATTTCAATTGATTTTAACGGTATTTTAATTCAATTTAAATTGATTTTAAAGGGATTTTAATTCGATTTCATTTGAGTTTTTAAGGAATTGTATCTAAATTTCAAATGATTCTAACGTGATCTTAATTCGTTTTCAATTGAGTTTAAAAGGAATTTGAATTAAATTTCAATTGATTTTCACAGGATTTAAATTCGATTTCGACTGATTTTATCGTGATTCTATTTCAATATCAATTGATTTGAAAGGAATTCTGCTTAACTTTCAATTGTTTTTAAGTGTGGATTTTAATTTAATTTCAATTGATTTTAACGGGAATTCGATTTCAATTTATTTTAACGTGATCTTAATTCGTCCTCAATTGAGTTTAAAAGGAATTTGAATTAAATTTCAATTGGTTTTCACGGGATTTTAATTCGATTTCAATTGATCTTAAAAGGAAGCTTATTTAAAATTCAATTGATTCTAACGGGATTTTATTTTGGATTTTAGTTCGATTTCAATTAATTCAAAAAAGAATGTCAATTAAATTTCGACTTCTTAAAGCAATTCAAAGGCAGCCCTACCAAAGTCTTTGAATAAATATACACCCCTAATAATAAATAATTTCTGATCCCCGGGACTATTTATCATTAGGGTGTGGACGTCGTTTATTATTGGGGGAAGCGATTATTCAGCCTACCCAGCGCACGACCTCAATGCACTGCGGAGTGGTTCACCAGTCGTGTCTTCCCGTCACATTGAAATTTTCCCGCCAGCCTGTGTGGCACAACGACGTTGGACACCAAAAGTCAGCACAGTGGAATTTCGCCTTTTAGCGAACGCGTGCCACGCAAATCCTGGGATATTGGGCTCACCACACTTACAACCTTCGCTGGGCCGATGGGCCGGGTGGGGCCCTGTGGAGGGGATTGGGGCGGGTGGGCAAGGTGGGACCGGCCGCATTGATTTTCTGCCCTTCTGCGGTCGCAAACCGTATTAAAAAAAAATAATTTTCGCAGCTGCCCTGCCGAAGCTGCATGGTCGTGATGGTAGAAATATCAAGCAGCACAAGCAGTACTCGCATCATAAGCCGAGCATGCCAGGATCAGCGCACCTGTCGCCCGGCACAAACAAGATCTGCATGAACATGCTCAGGCCAGAAAATCCTGCTCCGACGAGCATAGTCGTTGTTGCGGCCCATGCACACGCCATGCCACGCGTTTCTTTTTAGGGTTGCAAGACGAGAGCACGCCTGTAAGGTCCCGGACCAGCGATTTTGCATAACTTGGCACTGGGTTGTTGGTCTTGTGCATGGTTCTGGCTTGGGCGGTTGCATGCAGAAAACGTGCGTGCGTGGTTGCTCAGCCGCTCGCTGAGCCGGCTGTGCGGTCGCGCTTCTTCCCACTGTGGAGGGAGACTTTGCGGCAAGTTCTGTGGTGAGAATGGAACCGCGGCTGCATTGGCGGGGTGAACTGGCGGTGGCTTCGGCCGTGGTGCTGTTTCGAGATGGTGGTGCTGCCCCGTGTTGGTGAGGATGAACGTTCCTGCCGGAAGCCCGAAGGTGCAAGGGTAATCGGCGGCTTGCCATGCGAATTCGTGAGAGGCATTAAGTGGCAGCCCCGTGGGCACAGCAAATGTTGCAGGATCACGAGCAATAGCTCCAAAGGACTCCGGCTCTTGCCCTCGCCGTTGCCATCAGCTTGCGTTGTGGTCTCGCTACAAGCCGGTGGCAAAAAAGCAAAGGGTTGCTGGAAACGCTAATCTACGAAACATGGCAGCGCTCAAAGCAACATGACTGAAACATGCGGGAGGTTGGGCCAAAAACGGAACATGTTTGGCGAGCAGTCTGTCTGTTGGAGTCTATGATCTCCACATCAAAACATACAGGTGTTCCAATTTGCCTCTTCGTAGGAAGCCCGAGTGACGAACTGCGTGGCAGGTGCTTGTGCGTGCGGAGCTTCACTTGAGAACAAGTACAATGACATCTGGGTAACTACGATCAAAAACAAGTGTTCGTGGCTGAAAACCTGGAACACTGTGGGTAGCGAAACAACCCCTCCTGCACCGTACTCTTCTAAGTTGCATGCGGCGAAACAACCTGTAACCGCTTCGAAATCTAGAGTGTCGAGACTGGCCTCTGCTAGTGACCGCGCGCCCGACCCATCCAAGGTTTGGGTAACCAGTCCTGGTAGCAAACACAAACAATTATCCACTGCCTACCAACCCGGCTAAGGTCGCACTAAGAAGCAGACAGACCGCGGTCTAGATTGCCGAACCCAAGGCGCAAGACCAACAATCCCATCGAACTAATGTCAAAAACACGTCTTGCCACAACGGCCCATCTAATCACTCCAATAATTTCTAACCATTTACAATCCGAGTTGACCACTTTAACAGGGCACTCGAACCCCCAGCCCAAGCCCAGTCCTTGACCCGGACTGCTGTAAAAAAAAAAAANNAAAAAAAAAAAAAAAAACGGTTTTTCCATTTGCGTGACAAGTTCTACGCCAGTCACAGCTACGTGCTCGGCAATGGTCGGCCGTGAATGGCAAGCTGATAGGATGCCCCACACCGCGCCCGGCCAGACATGGCAACGTACCTCAGAGCCTGTGGATCCGGTGCATGCGTGGGGCACGCGCAACGTCTCGCACTAGGCGAAGCACTCGTCGTTGAAAGGGCTACTGCGAGCGTAATCAGCTGCCAGAAACAAGTTCGGGGTATGTCGCCCGTCCGCTGCTTGGCGACGCGCCGACTCGCCCTCCATGGAGTCGTGGATTGTGAGTTGGTAGCTTTCCCGTGCAAGTGTTTGGCTGTTCATCGTGCATTGGTGCTCACTCCGCTTGTCCTGACATGACCTGGCAGGCCAGCACAAAAACAACCATCAAGGCAGCACATCCTCCAGACTACCGCGACAAGGCTAACAAACCAGCTTTCCGGACTTGGGAATGAAGGCGCTTCAGCACAGCACGAGACGAGCTCGCGCAGCCGCGCGCCGGATGGCATGACCGCCCTGATGGTCTCGTCGGGGCAAGAAATTTACCCATCATCAAGCTTCTAATAGACTAAACTGCAGGCAGCGTCATCACGTTGTTCCCGAGGAAATTCCATTCCGGTCGTGGGCTTTTGCTCTGTCCAAGGCAAATGAACCCAGGGTCACACTTTGACTTCGTTGCAAGAATCTGCAAGAAGCAATTGAGAAGTTTCTCGGAATGCCATGCAGGGGCGTTCAGAATTCGATGCCAAGGACGTGGGCAAGAGAATCCCTGGCTGGGGTGGGCCACGGGCTGCATGTTGTCAAGGACAAGCCACTACGTGCAGCCAGAGGCTCATGCGGTAAGTTCGCGTGCGAACAACTACAGTTGTCGAGAACACCGGTGGTGCCGGGCCTTGCTTGCAGCGTCTACCCTTGTGAAGCCTGAAGCAATCAAGTAGCCCCTGCTGTACCAGGTCATCATTGAACGGCCGCGCCGCTGGCACGGTGGATAGCCTGAAGCGTCGAGGGATCAGGGCACACCAACAGAAGCGGCTGCCCTGCACCTACTGGCAGTGGCCCTGTTGTACAGGAAGTTAGCACCTTGCTGTTACTTGCATCGATGCGATGCGATGCGATGCGATGCGATGCGATGCGATGCGGCGTACCCAGCTTGTCGGCCCCACTGGTGCAGGATGAACAGATCTTCCCATGAAGTGTAAACATTTTGCAGACGACCATGCCATGCTTGCCGGAGGTTGTTGCAAAATATGACGTGGACTTGTTGCAGGAACTGTCCAGCAGCCAACAGCAGCCTAACGTTGTTTGTTTCCTGACCGCAAATTGAGATCAACCCTGCAAGCTGACCTCAAGCCATGTTGATCCTACCCGATCAACGCGACCTGGTCGGCAGATCCACCCCGTTGCATCCCGTTGCTACAGGGCCAGGCATGCGCTCGCTAGTTTCCAGTGGCTCAGATCCGCAAAACGTGATGCAAAGCCGGCTTTGCAAAGAACATATACTCTGCGCAGACGCAGTGTCTGCCGATTGCTTGGATCCGTTTCAGCCTACTACACTGCTGGTTGCATCAAAACAGTATGCTGGTTACTGCGTGGGAGTGTCCCATGTATTTTGTTAGAGCTCATCTCATAGCATTGTTCCGAAGTTGTTTAGTGGGTCCATGCTGTCCAACCGATTTCATAAGCTTATATAAATATTTGGTATATGATGAGTCTGGCTCACGCCGGCTGTGTTCCCAGACCGCACTGCAATTTAACCAAGCCCGCCTTGTCCAACAAACCGCCTGTGTACTTTGGCAGAATCTTCTGGGCATGCATATGGCCACTCAACAAACCGCCCAGAATGCCTCAATTAGATTCAGAAACACTCGCGTAAGAAAACTCAGCTTTCCTCACGTTTTTGCACTTTTGGCAAATGAGGCGCGGATGTTGACCTCGAACGTACTCACTTCAAGATCTTTGTCGAAGTAGACGTTATCTTCGATGTACGAGACGGCCACCTGCCACATAGCTGAGTTGGCCGTTTCACAGCCATACCCTTGCCCTGATTTGGAGAAAATGCTTTTCATGGACCAAGCCTTGAAAGCTGTTTTCCGCCTGAAGATGACCAGCGAGTCCAAGGCGTCAATAAGCGTCCTTTGAAGAAAAATACTTCCCGGTAGCACCAGCTGAAACACCCCCCAGCCCCCGCTGGAACTGCAAGCCATAGCTCATAGAATAGTTTCCCAGCATGGCATCGAGATCACCTCGTTCCCTCCGAAGCCGGCCATCGCAAGACAAAGGTCGAAGCTCGTCAGCCGGAAAAGCATGCGACATGTAGGAATCCTGGGCCAAGGCCATGCGTTCTGCATGAGACGGAAATCAGAAGCCCTCCAACTGCTGGTAAAAGCAATGTCTCTGCAGGTGAAGCCTATTCCCTATGCAACGCCAAGTATCAAAGGCATGTTTGTACATGTGCTGCACCTGGCGTCATGCAAGCTGTAGCGCACGTTCGTTCAACCACAATCCTAGTTGGGAAAGCTTGGCATGCTCAAAAGACGTCAACAGCACCGGGGACGTGTGGTTAGCATCATGCTCTCAGCCCACCTTCTGGGCAGAAGCAGCCCGCTCATGCCGCGGAACAGCATCGGAGGAGGAGGCGACCAGGGGAAGGACGAAGAAGCATGAGAAACCCATGTGCCGCAATGTGCCGCAAACCGCTGGGCAACGAAGCGCAAACAACATGTTATCCCTGGCGGTGTGTTTTACAAGACCTTTGGCACGTCAGATGCCTGTCTTGCGGCGTTCTTAGCCTGCAGATGATGTGAAGAAAGCTGCGACGTGCCTGAACATCAGCTGAAACAGCCAAATGGCTACCGTGGCTAAGCGTCGAGCATGATGACCCCAACTGCGACACAGGGTGACATGTCAAAGATGCAAACAGCAAACTAACAGACTTCACAGACGCAGCAATTTCTGCGATACCGCTAATATGCAAGGAGCGTAAGCTTGCTGACATGCGGCCACAAAGAGTGTGGCTCGCCAGCTCAACCGCGCATAACTGAAGTTCAACTAACTCACAACTTGCGGCACTCAGCGGAATTCCTTACCGAACACAATTCCAAAGGTTTTCCCAGCTATTGGGAGGTCAGAGTTGGCCCGGCCCGCAACCTGCCCTTGGAGGCAATTAAGGCAGCAGCTGTGGACTTGCCGAGGTCTGGGTGACCCATCAAGAAAAAATTGATAAGAATGAAGAACACTTTGACCTGAAAAATCAGGAAAAATCAAAAAAACTTGTGCATGGTATCAAAAAATAATCGGATAAGCATCAAGAAAAATTGAGGACAACTGTACTATACATCAGCAAGAATAAAGCGAATGGAGAATAGATGAGAATAGTCGGAATAGTAGTACTCACAATATGAATACGGATATTACGTATACCTGGTAGCAACACCGATAAGAAAAAGAGTTGGAAAGAGACTACGGCTCAAATTGTTTCTTGATGCCTTATACAATGTTTTGTTGATGCCTTTGCCCCGAGGTCTTCCGAGTTTCTCGAGAGCAAAGAAGAACTCTGGAGACCTTGGAAGCCCTCGCACTGCTGCCTTGAGCATTCGAGCATCCCAAGGACTAGAGGCAGGGTTACTCTCCTATCAATCACCCTAAACACCAAAGACGACATATCTGCAGACTAGTTTGGCTCCAACGCACCTTTTGCAAATCGGGACTCTGTACCCCCAAGGCGCATGCCGCATGCCTAATTGTGGTTATGACTCAAAATACCTGGACAAAAGAAATTGCTTCGGCAATCAGGAGTTTCCACCTTAAAAAGTCCAGCTGGACCCTTCGCCTGGGATTTCCACCCTGGACCATCAGCTTAAGAGTCCTGTTCAGCATAATGAGTCATGGGGATAACTCAGACAAGAAGGGAACCCCACAATTTTCTGTACACCCTGCCACTTGTTCCATGCTATGATTCAAGCAGTCAACAGCCACATAGGTGAGCTTCTGTTTTTGATTTCTACGAGCTCTTCCTTCGAGATTAGGTTGCGGTCATTCCAAAAACTGCAGGACTTGTCATCCCTTACAAGATGTCTCCTGACACGGCTAGGTGTGAAGAACCGCTGCCATGACAACAGGTGTGAAATTCAAGATTCAAGCCTAAGAGTATCCGGTCGGGCAACGTATATGGAGCGAGTCCATGATTTTCAGGCTGCTGGTTAGCCACATATTCTGACATGACCGCCGCGGTGTTTTTTCTAGCTCTGGCTTTGCATTCGAGGTAACACCCTAGCCTACTAAACCAGCTCCATGGAAAAGACTCGAAATTTTCTTTGAATAAATTGAAGCACGACTGGCAACGTGAACAACACTTTCCGTGCTGCACTGCCAGCTGGCACATTACAAGGGTACTCAAGGCTATGGGTAACGTTGAAAACCTGGTTTGTTCCCCACCCTCACAGTGGG